TTCAACTCCTCTTAGAAGATTGTCTTGCAAAAGCAACGTTGTGCAATTTTTTGGCTTTTCTTAGTGGAAGTTTGCTCTGGATTACTGCATAAGGAATTTCGTCCCTGGAGCTCTTTCCGAGCAAGATTAGATAAATTTAAAAGTCTTTCAAAAGTGATGGATGAGTGTCCAAATATGCTGTCTGGAATCAACATTTAGTTTGAATTTTTTTATTTTTTTTTTGAGATTTTAAGTCAAGGACAGCTGGGCCGGTTGCTGTCAGGCAAGCTCATCGCAGGGTTGTCGTTATGGACAAAAAATAAGAGAATGAACTGTAGGTCTTGACTTACCAGTGCAAAATTTCCTTGGCTAAGCAAGAGAGCGAAGTGACTTTGGCACCATTTTGCAACTTTCCTTGCCACGGTTGTTAAGTGAATCACTGCAGTTGTTAAGCGAGTAACACGGTTGTTAAGTGAACCCGGCTTTCCCTGTGGACTTTGCTTGTCGGAAGGTCGCAAAGGGGGAAATCACGTGGCCCCCAGGGACGCTGCAACCGTCATAACTCTGAGTCAGTTGCCAAACGGCTGAATTTGGACCACGTCACTGCGGGGATGTTGCAACGGTCGTAAGTGTGAAAAACCACCGTAAGTCACTTTTTTCAGTGCCTCTTGGTCACTAAATGAGCTGTTGTAAGTCGAGGACTGCCAGTGTGATGTTAGAAGAGACACCCCAAGGATCATTTATTTGTCCAATCCTATGTATACAGATCATCCTCGACTTAAAGCTATCTGTTTAGTGACCGTTCAAACTTACAATGGCACTGGAAAAAAAAGGGGGACTTAGGACTGCTTTTCACACTTATGACCGTTGCAGCTTTGCCACACGATCCAAATTTGGGCATTTGGCAACTAGCATGGATGTGCAGCTAAGCTTCTGAAGTTTGATCACGTCACCGCAGGGAGGCTACAAAGGTCGTAAGTGTGAAAAATGGTGCTACATCACTTTTTTCAATGCCGTCGTAACTTCGAACAGTCACTAAACAAATGGTTATAAGTCAGTGGTGGGATTCAAAATTTTTTACTGCCGGTTCTGTGAGCGTGGCTCGGTGGCAGGGGAAGGATACGGCAAAATCCCCCTTCCCTCCCCACCCCACTAACCTGCTTTCCAGCTCCGTTCTCCTGTGCAGGGCAACCAAAAGAGACCCAGCCAATCAGCTGGGACTCAATGGGAGGCAGAGAAGAGATGGGATTGGTGAGGCCAGTCAGAGGCAGGATTTGCCGGTTCTCTGAACTACTCAATATGTCCGCTACCGGTTCTCCAGAACTGGTCAGAACCAGCTGAATACCATCTCTGTTATAAGTCTAGAGCAAGGGTCTTCAACATCAGCCATTTTAAGACTTGTGGACTTCAACTCCCAGAATTCCCGAGCTAACATGACTGAAAGGAGGAATTCTGGGAGTTGAAGTCCACAAGCCTTAAAGCTGTCAAGTTTGAAGACCCCTGGTCTAGCATGGGGGTCTTCAACGTCGGCCATTTTAAGACTTGTGGACTTCAACTCCCAGAATTCCCGAGCTAACATGACTGAGAGGAGGAATTCTGGGAATTGAAGTCCACAAGTCTAAAAAGCTGTCAAGTTTGAAGACCCCTGGTCTAGCATGGGGGGGTCTTCAACGTCGGCCATTTTAAGACTTGTGGACTTCAACTCCCAGAATTCCCGAGCTAATATGACTGAGAGGAGGAATTCTGGGAGTTGAAGTCCACAAGCCTTAAAGCAGTCAAGTTTGAAGACCCCTGGTCTAGCATGGGGGGGTCTTCAACGTCGGCCATTTTAAGACTTGTGGACTTCAACTCCCAGAATTCTCGAGCAAACATGACTGAGAGGAGGAATTCTGGGAGTTGAAGTCCACAAGCCTTAAAGCGGTCAAGTTTGAAGACCCCAGCTCTTAGAACCACCTGTACTCCTGCAGCCATTCAACCCAGAAATCTGGCTCCATTTTGGCCCACCCTGTATTTCTCCTCCAGATAGAGCGCCATCACTGGAGACTCAAGAAGAGATTGGACTGCCATTGGTCAGAGTAGGGTCTCCCGCTTGGGCAGGGGGTTGGACTAGATAACTTACAAGGTCCCTTCCAACTCTTGATTATCTGTTAGACCAAGCCGGATAGACCAAGGTGGGGGGCGGGGAGGGTGAAATGTTGCAATCTGGAACAAACGGTGAAGGGAGAGGGGTGGGAGGAAGTGGTCTTCCACTGACTCATCATCCCATTCGTGAGCATTTCTTGCAAAATGGCTTTCTGGGTAAAAGTCTCCATCCTTTGGCCCAGAGAAAAGGGTGTGATGCAACAGAGCGTCTGGGAAGAAGGATTGAGTTTTGGGGGCCAAAGATCGTTGGCATCTTTGGACTGGGGTGGAGGTGGGGGTGGGGGCAGAGATACACATGGCAGCCTCTTCTGTCCCACTAAGGGTGGGGCAGGTTTGTTTTAAGGTTTTCTGCAGGGATTGGGCCAGAAGCAAATAGCTAAGCTCTAAGTTTTGGGGTCCTGGGTGAAAAGTCAGATGGAATCAGAACATTGGGGGTCCTTGGTGCTCCCTGAGCTGGGTTGTTTTTCTTGCAGACGTTTCATCACCCAACTAGGTAACATCTTCAGTGCTACAAGGGAGTGAGGTTGGAGGAGGAAGAGGAAGAAAGAGAGAAAGAAAGAGAAAGGAGAGAGAGAATGAGAGAGAGAGAGAGAATGAAAGAGAGAGAGAATGAAAGCGAAAGAATGAATGAGAGAAAGAATGAATGAGAGAAAGAATGAATGAAAGGAGAAAAAATGAAAGAAAAAGAAAAAAAGAGAAAAAAATAAAAGATTGTGGTACTTGGTACTTCCTGAGC